GAAGCTTCTTCGGGCATCGGCTAGCAAAGTGTCCCGGCTCCTGGCAAAAATAACAAATATCCTGTCCAGCACGACACTCTCCCCTGTGAAGACGACCACAAGTCGGGCATGGTGGAATCTGTCTCGGTCGGGTCCTCCGATCAGTCTGTGCACCCTTCGCCTTCCTCTTCTTATCCTTGGCTGGCTGCGGGACTGGTAGAACTGCAACTGGCTGAGCTGGGGCGGATGGCTGAGCACGATCACGAACGGCCTCCCTCCTAATGCTAGCGTCAACCTCCTGGGCGATAGCAACTGCTCGTGCGTACGACTGTGTCCCGTGTCCCACAATGTTATGACGGACTGCTGGATATAGTCCGTCAGTGAACCTCTGAGCTCTCTGGGCCTCCGTGCGAACAAGATCCGGTGCAAAACCTGCAAGCCTGGTGAACTTACGCTCGTACTCATCGACAGTACGAGTGCCCTGTTGAAGCGCTAAGAACTGGCGCTCCATCTCTGCCCGATAGTAGGAAGGGTAGTACTTGTCGCGGATTAGATCCTTGAACATGTCCCATGTACAACCCGCTTTTTCACCGGGGCGCATGCTCCAGTAGGAGTTCCACCAGAGCCTCACGTCGCCAGTGAGCTGAAGCTGAGCGCAAACTACGCGAAACCTATCGGGGCATTCCATAATTTCGAAAATAAACTCCAACCCCTGAATCCATTCATCGACGATACGGGGGTCGCCCTGACCTGAAAACTTCTCTGCATGATAGTCGCGGAACTGAGCGACTACCGTCGCCTGAGTAGGACCCTGCTGAACGGGATCTCTATGTGGCGGCATCTGAACATTGAAAAAGATTTAACATTACTGAATACATGATAATATTCTGACTGATTACTTAAACACACAAATTTCTTCACGAGTCGCCAATAATGGCCGACAAATACTGACATGAAACCTGAAGAGCTCTAGGGTCATATAGAAAGACCCTAACGTCTAGAGTCATATCTGAGTATCTAAATTCTAGAGTCATGTCCAAACTCTAAAGTCTGAAT